GATATGGCATTGAGCACCAGGGAGGCGCAGGTAGGCCCAGAAAATTGACTGTCGGTGACAGGAGGCAGCTTGGTATTCTTGTTTCTAAAAACAAACGAAGGAGTTTAGAAAACTTAAGGCTGGATATGATTGATAGAGGAACTGTGGCTGTCTGTAAGGAGACAATTAGAACTGAGCTGCATGCAATGGGTTGGCAGAAAAGTCGAGGAATTCCATCACCGATCATGAAACCTGAACAAAAGGAGCGAAGGTTGAACTGGTGCTTACAGCATAGAAATTTTAACTGGGACAATGTGATTTTCTCAGATGAAAGTTCTGTGTGGCTGTTTCCTAATACACTGAAATTCTGGACCAAACAAACTGAAAAACCTTTTTATCAGCGCCCAAAGTACAGTCCGAAATTTAACGTGTGGGGTGGCATATCTGTGTTAGGGGCAACGCCCTCTGTATTTGAAGGAATATGAACAGTGAGCGGTACACAGATATTCTTGAGGGACATTTACTTCCATCTGCTCACCTGTTCTATGGAAATGTTTGGATTTTCCAGCAGGACAACGACCCAAAACATCGTTCAAAGCATTCACAGGCCTGGTTTCGGACCCAAAATATGACATTATTAGATTGGCCAAGCTATAGCCCTGACCTAAACCCAATAGAAAATGTTTGGGGACTTATGAAGGAAAGTGTCAATAAGAAAAATCTGACAAATATTGCTGAAATGAAAGAAGAGGTGGTCCGATATTGGGACAGCATGGACCACGACTTTCTAACTTCTTTGATCAGTAGTATGCCCCACCGCATTGAAGCCTGCATTGCTGCCCATGGTGACTTGACAAAATACTAACTGTTCACCTGTCTTTGAATCTGGAGTTATGTTCTGCTAATATTCACATTTAATACGTGAGTAATGAGTGAAAAAATAAAAAAATTACAATCTTTAAATTCTCAATAATTTCTGGTTGTACTGTATGTTGTTGTGATATAAACTGAAATATTGCCTACTGTGACATACATATATAACATACAACCTGCTTACTTAACTCAGTGAGTGAGTGAGTGAGTGAGTATGGTCCAGACTCATTTACACATATGTTGCTGTGATATAAATTGAAATACTGATTACTGTGACATTAAACAAACAATGTCACACTTTGATATTATCCATAGGGAAAGGATATATAGAAATTACTTTTTGCAATTCTCACAAAGATATATACTTTGCTATAAGCCGACTTGATCCTTTATGCCCATTATTTGACTGTTGTTTGGGACATCACATAACATTTACTGACATCAACTATACTGACTGATCTCAGATTTCTTTATAAATGTTTTGAGTAAATTTTACTAAGGTGGGTCATACATATATCACACGTTACAAATTTCCTAACAGTGTTTATGAAACCAGTTACATTATTATTTACATCTAATATACTTTACTCTAATTTATTACGCTTTAAATTTGGACTATATAACCCTTATAGAATCAACACTGAAAAAAGGATTCCATTGAGATAATCTCTCTCCTATTGTAATTGCCGCGTCACTTTCAGTGTGTATTCTGAAGATCACAGTCAGCAACATAACACGCTGTCGTCAAGTACCCACTACGCCCTGACCCCAGGGATTGGTTGGAGTACCTTTGTTCCGGAATCTTCCCACCAATATCTGTCCCCCCGGCACTTGTAATCCTCTCATGTCTTATTAGCGACACAAAAAGGTCACATAAGTCTGTTTGAGTTTCAGGGAAGCTAAACCCAGGTTCGACCCGCTTGTTATGAAAGTTAAACAATAAATCCTCTGATACCTATTCTTTCATTTCAGCATGTTCACATTAAACAGAACTATACATCTTCATTGATATTGAGTTATTTTTCTTTGAAATTAATTGGTTGGAAAATGTTCCATTTGAACAGAAATTTCTAAAAATACATGCATTGACTTTTGAGTTTTAGTTTGTTGGTTTTGGTGAATGTGTGACAGACTGTCACCAAGAGCTTCACTGTAGCATGTTTATTTGTTGTCTGGGATTGCACCCAACAATATTCCAGCTGCACAATGACAGTCAGTAAATAATCAATTCTGGACCAGACCATCCTGTGATTGACATCATGAGCATCAATTACCGTAGTTGGGATATGCATCAAGAAATTCTGTGAGTCTGATCTTGGGAGTAACAAGACTAATTTACTCTGGATCTGCGCAAGGGTGACATATTTGAGTTAACATTTCTAGAAACACTCATTTAAAAGTTTCAATTTCAGCATTAGATTTCCTTCATGTCATATTTCCAGTGCACATGAAATCTACAGTCTGTTACAAGAGTAGTCATTGGCCATACTGTAATCAGGTGGAACATATCACTGAGATTAGGCCAAACATACAAACTGTGGTGTGCCACGGACCAATAATGGATGAAAAAAGTACTTAGCATTAATTAAACAAAACCTAAATAACTTCAAAGATTTAGTCAGTGAATAATCTTCATTCTTTGTTTATCTTGTCTATATTTGTCCTATGGAGACAGATAGAGTAGTTTGAAATGGGCATCTTAATTTCATTGAAGCTTTTGGGGGGTTGGGATGATAGTGGGGGTGGGGGTTGAGGGATAGATCGACGGCTGGGAGAGGAGGTGTGTCAGTTTACAATCATATAAGGTTGAGCATAAGAAATATTATTACAAAGCTACTTGGAAGGTCAGGCTATTGGGACAATATGTTATTTTCTAAACAGTAAAACTAGCACTCTGTAATATTGCATGGCCTTGAATAACAAGAATAACATTCTCAATATTAAAGATATATAATCAGGTGGAAAATATATCCGGACATACAGAAGGGTTAATAAATAACCGAAACACTTAAAGTCACAGAGATATGAGGAAAACTTGGATTATCAGTTGAAGCAGTTCATCCCGGAGCACAGCGTGAGGCTATCTTGATCGAACCCCATTCTCTCAGATGGAGTTGAAGGGGTTGTGATAAACATGACAGCGAGGTTCCCCCTGTTTATAGAACGCTATCTCATGGCAATGTCCGGGGCTCATGTGAAAATATTTCATCTGAAGTGTCAGACTGATAACAATGTGGTCAGTTTTATAATATTTTCCATTATGACGGTATCTACATGTACAAATCCGTAGAGAGTGATAAGTGGTTATTGTCAGGGATCAAAATGCAATATTACCCAAAAGGATAGACTGCCCGCGTGTAACATCCTTTCAAAATGTGTGATTTGCTTTTAGCGATCTTCAGTGCTGAATGGCCAGCAGAAACTACAATACATCACAGTGCTTAATTTATTAGAGAAATATGACATCAACCAGTGTTCATTACATCACAAATGTTCATGTTACATCAAGTCACCTGGATCAGCTGGATGGTCAAAGCAGTCTTAGGGCTAAGACTATTGTAAGCCTGATAGTATGGTAGTTACAATTGTCATAGCACTAAGATCACTTGGCACAAGTAAATACTGAACAAGAGGCTGTCTTAAGTTATCGTTATCTAACATTATTTCTTCAGTTTTTCTCGTAAAATGTCAAAGTCTAATATGTATAGAGAATAAACACTTGCTTGACAACGACATTAGAATCTATGTCGAAATGTCGCCTATATAGAATAAAGAAGTTGCATATCCATAAAAATAGTCCTCATTCTTAAAATAACCTACCAAAATCTCAGACTTTCAGTACCGGTCATCTTTCCCTCGTGAATGAATGATGCTTTGAATTTGTATCCATTTTTCTTTAAATATTCTTCAAGTGTACCACAGGGCACTCATCAAGTTGTTAACACGTTCCCTTGTGACATTAAGTTTGGAACAAGAACAATTTTGTTTTCAACAGTGCCACTGAATGCCACTGAGCAGTATTCCAGAAATATCAACGGACATTGAAGCCATATTGTGATCTGAACCTGGGACTTTGGCATGCGCTTTAGTTGGATGATAGTATGCGCTTTACCCACCAGGCCTCGATTTCTCGAAACAAACTTAAGTCTGAGTTTTGACTTAAGATAGAGTTTTTACTCAAATTTGAGAAAATGCATTTTCCAGAATGAACTGTAATCGATAATAAACTCAAACATAGTAGACAATTTGAGTTTGGTGGATAGATTACTTAAGATGTTTGGACTCTTTATTTAAAAAATGCACTTGAGTTTAAAATTCAGCTGTTTCAAATTGTCAAACTCAGTTTGAAATTTGAGTAAAAACTTAAGTTTGTTTCGAGAAATCGGGGCCAGGCCACCCTCAGCCCTGTACTGGTAGATCCTCACAACACAACAAATGAAAGCAAAACATGAATTATGGCCACAAATAAAATTACTCAAGCCAAAGAAATATCCCTTATACATCTACTTGAATGAACACATCCTAGATGATTCTGCAGTAACACCCCACTACCTCTGGCACCCTGAGAAAGACCAAACTATTACATGTGCACAGAACAGGGACTGTTTTGTCGTCTTTATAAAGAAGAAAATTGTATCATTTCGAGTTTCTTCCACTCAAGGTTTATTTCAAATCTGTATCATTCAAACTGAGATTGTAATGCTTGTGAAGGGTTGGTGCCAGGACTGTTTACACAGAACAGTCTGTTCTAGATGGTGAGTGTGTGGGTGGGTCTGTGGGTTTGGATAAGGGGGTTTGGGGGGAACAATTGTAATAATGCCTAGGAATCGCTCTTTTTTTCAAAGTATGTACGTAAACATCCATCTAAACTAGTTTGTATGAGCAAATAAAGCTGATGTCAGGTGTTTTCTATCAGCAGCTAGACCCACAGAAATACATGAACCTCCAATCCAAATATATAATGGTTCATAGTCCTTTAACTTAAACAAATGTCGTAAGGCAAATTGCAACTGAAATAGTAAATTGTTATTATCACAGACTGAGAAAATGAAAATGTAGCAGAAATCCTGCCCACACAAAATTCCAATTCATCTAAATCCTGCAAAATTAACTTACATGTTTAAACACAGAAAATATATTCTACTTACATTTAAGTGCAGCAAAGGCCAGCTCATAAGTTTTCCTCTTCTCAATCTCATCTTTAAACTCCTCATCTGCCACAGGTGGTTGAATGGGAGCATTGGCCAACTGTTTCCTGCGAAGGTAGGGACTTCCTTCATTAGGGTCCTGTTTCAACACTGAGTATATCTTAGCCCCACGAACAAACATACGATGAGAGTAGATTGTAGGTTCCTTGAAGAAAAACTCCTGGCGGTACCTACTCTCATCTGAGATGTAGCCATTACTCTGTGGAGTGTCAGTCATTTTGGTTAGATGTTCCGACTGGCTGTCACTATCCGGGAACACTGTTCTTCCATTTCTTAAAAGTTGGTCATTTCCTTGACCGGAACCCTGGAAGTGGTGCCCTCTGTTTCCACTGTACCCCTGCTGCTGGTAGGAAACATTCTCTGTAGTAGGTGGCATTATATTCTCAACATCCCCTCACACCTCTGCCTGTTTTCCCCGAAGGTGATGATAGCCCGGGAGCTGATTGGTCAGAAGGGTTGGCCACTTGTGTCAATCAGCATTCAGCAGACCGTCGAGCAATCGGCAATGTGATTCAATCAAGTGCGTTTCAATCGCTGGGGCAGACGGGTGGGTCAATGCTTGATCCTGGAGTGAATTAAGTCAAGTCTAAGTAGCTCCTCAATCAATACAACGCAGTGATGCAGCGTGTCGCTTGGTGATTCACAATACAGCTGCCCTTATCTACAAATAAACAAACAACAAGCCCTGAGACAAGAAGAACTTCCTCAAGACACCTCCATGACATTTAACCCGCTAAAAGCGATAAGCTGTCCATTGTCCATATTGCCGTCCGAAGCAGTGGAGCAGTCGCTAACAGGGTAGAATAGACACTGTCACTTCATAAGTAATATACCCTAACAGTGGAACCCCCGTCGTACAAAGCAATCTCTCTGACTGTACAAGTGTGGCTTAAGGAATATATACTGTTGCGCTTCTCAGAAGTATCAACTAGGCTTGCATGGGATCAATTGAAATTCTGAGGCTAGACATTGATGAAAATATAGGGATTATGCTAAGCTTGGAGCCTACAGAATATTGGTACACACATGTGTATACAAATACCTCATGTCATAGGAAAACAAGTTCTCATTGCATGTGTCATAACCATGCAGTTGAAGAGTCTAATTAATTTAAAATTCCCCAAACCTATGTATATTAACAAAAATAGTTAGATATTATAAAAAGTTTGAAGGAAAGTATTATGAAATTGTGTTGACAGTCTTCACTACTAACAAATATTTCCAAAAATATTAATGAGACTTAACTATTTAATTCATTATAGATAATTACAAACCAAATCTTTAGACACAAATTGAATAAAACATTCTTCATTTCAATGTTAACATTCCAGCACAGAATATGTAAATTTGTTCTAATGCTGTATAGCAGTAAGGAAAGCCCAATCTTATTTGTTGTTTTACTTATTCTGTGGGTTCTACCCTCTAATGTTTTCCTTTGAAAACTTTTGAAAAATAAGTGTAAGTTTTATCACAAAATAATATAAAATGATATTTCAAAATCCTATTATCAATACCTTTTTGCCAAAGTTATGGAACAACTTCAATTCAATATCATGAAAATATATTGGTCACTGAATGACAAGTGACCTCATACACACGCCTTAAGAAACTCGTCTTATGAACATCTATCAGATTTTGCCCAGTTTCCAGAAAGCCATGCTATTTCTACAGACAATATTTCCCCAGAGATGAGACCCACAACCACTTACACCGACCAAAAATCCTTCAAACAGACTGACCAACAACTCTCCTTTATATACTGTTTCCAGACCAACAAATCCTAGCATAACACCCCACATGAAATCCTCACTAATCGTCCACACAAGAGGATTACTGCACCAGCCCACAGCCCACTCTTACTCCAGCCAACAGGTACAGTGCTTTAAGCTGGGGTAATCTCTCCACGGCAATGGCTCCACCACGGAAAAGAGGATCACCGTATGTGTGCATTAGTGTGAGCGGGTAAGAATAATTGATTTGGCGGAAATTATGTCCAAATATGTCCTGGGGACAAGCATGGTATTGAACGACTGGATTGGTTCTCAGTCTGTAGTCCATGTAGTACTAAGTCGCATGCTGTAGTGATGTGGAGTAAGCCTACTTTAGTATAAGCCTACTTTAGTATAAGCCCACGCTGAAATTTACGGATTTCGCTCAAGAAGATTTATTTACACACTAGTTGTGACATCACAAAAATAGAAAAATTGAAAAGTTGAGTCATTTCCAATACATACCTGTCGCTCCAACTAATAAATTCATCACTAAATCTAAATTAGGAAAACCCTTTATCTCATTAAAATATGATCTTTTACTTCAATGTGATACCAATTTGATACCCTTTCAAGATTCAGAACTCAGAAATACTTCTCATACAAAGAAATCAGAAGCCTCCATCATGAATCTGATCAGAAAGTTCACCTCTGATGACCTCAAAAGGACGTTATTCAGAACTTCACCAACAGGTATCGATTAAAAGTGGAAGATTTGATTTTACTGAGATTAGAACACCTGTTCTCATTCCTTGAGAAACATAATTGTGACTACTAGATTCGTGTACAGAAAGTTTCCTCGCAGAGATGTTTCAATTTGTTCGGAAACAATTTCATAAAAAAAACCCTAAAATTTCAAATTACATTTTTAGGAATTTCCCCCAAAACAAACACATGAAGCAGGGAACTCAAAACAAGACATCCTCTATTTTGTGGATTAATGGTTCCAAAGCAAATCAAACCGGATCAATCAGTTTCAAGCAAACACACTACCTGCTGAGCTATCTAGGTGTAGGGGCGGTGGGGTAGCCAAGTGGTTAAAGCGTTGGCTCGTCATGCCAAAGACCCGGGATCAATTCCCCACCTGGGTACAATGTGTGAAGTCCAATCCTGGTGTCCGCCACTGTGATATTGCTGAAATATTGCTAAAAGCGGTGTGAAAACTAAAAAACGCACTCCTTACAATGTGAAGCCCATTTTTGGTGTCAGCTGCTGTGATATTGCGGGAATATTGCTATGTGGTGTAAAACTCGAACTCACTCACTAACTAGGTGTACAGTTAACCAGTAAACACGGACTGCAATTATTGCCCTGTCAAGGAGACTCTCCAACAGAAGCTAATTACTGTCACTTACGCCTTGCTGGACATACTGATTTATCCAGACTGTTTGGTTAAGTAAGACTAGTCTAGCATTCATGATATTAAAGGGTAACATTCTTTCAGTTGTTTATTCAGTCAATTACAGTAAGCCATCAAATATGTGTCACCAGATTAATCCCAGTGTCAACCTCAAGCCTATACTGGATTATGATATAAATGCAAGTTTACCAACCTTGGAGATTTTCAAACTAGTAAAAACAAACTGTTTATTTCTAAGATAATTTGACACAGTTGCAAAGAACAAAGACACCTTTATACATGGTCGGTGATTACCACAACTGCTTGACCAATATGTGTAAACAAACTGACCATGCATAGCACTATACTGTACTAGAAGCACAATTGTAGCACTCTGTTACATTGTTTATTCAGAGCTTGTAGTGTACATCCTTGTTTCTGGCATGTTGTGAACCTGACAGGACAACAAACTCCAATATGTCAAGATAAAAATGCATTACTTTCTATATACGAGCAAGAAATTGCTTTTTCACATTAATTTCATATTTACATATATACAAGATATGATAATTTTCCTGTTTCATAAACCCACAGCGTATATAAGAAAGTCAATAGTAATCTCTGCAGCATTCTGTTTACAGTTGTTAGGCAAATATGATGACAAATACAATCAATGACATCATAGGCTTCATAACTGAACCCACCTAGTTCAGACGAAAAACAACCAAGTCGAATTCGTTCTCATGAATATCAGTTGAATTCAATAGTTTATTTTGTGTCTAAAATGGCAAAAAAGAATAGATACTTATGAAGAAAATAATTTATACACAGTAAAGATTTCGAAGATCCAAACCACTTGTAAATAGATCAGATTGCAGCAAACACTCTCCTTCACTTCACAATTAGTTTTGTTCAGTGAGTAACACAAAATAGCATGCTTCCCGTGTAATGCAAAACATGATAATCTGCTGGTTAATCCTTGCTTAATCCACCATCCTACCATGCTGCTCAAATCTGACCTGTACACGCCCTATCTGTTTGTTTGTGTTTTGCTAAAGCCACAATAAGCAATATTCCAGCTTTGTTGCAACAGGCTGTAAATCAACCCTCGACCATACACATAACTCACATGAAACTTCACTTCCAATCACACTACACCAATAAAACACTTTTTATTTTCATTCACCACGATCTCAATACAAAAGAAGGAATCCCTGTGACTTTTTCTTTTCCCAACCATTCAAGTAGAGAGACAGGACAAAAGGTATACATTTCATACTGACCCATATCCAAGTCTTAAATCCAAACAAAAATCCCTTCCACAATTATTCAAACGGAACGGACACGGCACCACTCAAGACAAAATATAGGTCTGAAAAAAGCACCACTACTGATAAGCAATTCCTATTCATTCGTGGACAAGAAGAGGGCTTGAGTTATGATCGGGTTTATGTTGACAATGCAATCTTAACCTTGTTGGGCAACTTGATTAACTTTCTGAAATGGCAGGTCACAAATATTCCATCCGCTTATTCATCAATCACTGTGACTGTACAGGTGATATACTGACCCCAACTGTCTGTATTTGTGTACAGTGCAAGTCGGTAAGAATCACTTGAGATTATATGAGATTCAAACCAGGTATGTAGTTGGTACCGACTTTAAACATTTCAACCTTTGTCCAAGTTTTTCTTTCATTGATGTATCAAGTATTATAGCTAGAAGTAGGTATATGTACACTTAATATACTCAATGATAGAACTTGATCTCAGAATTGAAAATGTATGTGAAAAAACACAATATTTACATTTGAAAGTTACCAGTCACATTTTAGAAAAACTATTTGTAAAAAATGTCTGAATCTTGCCAAATCAAATACATCAACATCAAAATAATTCCTAATTACAGATCACAGTTTTTACAAGGAACATTTTTAAATTGTATAGATACAATTGTAGCATAATGGTTAAACCACAGATTAATATGACTCAATTATATTCTTGAAAAATTGGTGAATGTTGTGAAACCTAGAGAATCGGATGGTGCAAGGAAGTGAAAACATGTAGATTAACAAATATATAGATTTGTGACTGATTCTTGATAAAACATGTGGCTGATTCACTAGGAAAACTGAGGTTTGGGATTTATAGGGTATGGCTAAAATGGGTTTCATTCTATTGACAAAAGCATCGTACCACCTCAAAATATTCACTCAAAATTAACTCATTCATACTCTACTCGGTCACTCTTTCCTACTCAGTTATTCATACCCAACTCACTCAGTCATTACCTTCTCACTCAGTCATTACCTTCTCACTCACTCACTCATTCATACCCAACTCACTAAGTCATTACCTTCTCACTCACTCCCTTATTCGTACCCAACTCACTCAGTCATTACCTTCTCACTCACTCCCTTATTCGTACCCAACTCACTCAGTCATTACCTTTACACTCACTCCCTCATTCATACCCAACTCACTCAGTCATTACCTTCTCACTCACTCCCTCATTCATACCCAACTCAGTCATTACCTTCTCACTCACTCACTC